TCCAGGCCCCAACCTGACATTCACGTGCCCTTCAGCCCGCACCGCCCTCGAGAGAAAAGATAGCAAGTCACAGTCTCTAATCAGGGAGGGGACAGAGCTAACTGGGCTGGTGATACCACCTGGTGTCTGTCAGTCCTACCAACTAGAGCTGCTGGTCAGAGCTCTGGGTGACTTCAGGGGATGATGGACGTGGTGAGGTGGAGAGGGATACCTGGGCAGCTTTCTCTCTCTCTCTCTCTTTGCCCTAACAATTATTTATTGCAAAGCAAAGGGACTCAGCTGGACTTTTATTCTTGGTTCCTAGTAGACTTCCTGGAGTAAACACCTGGAAGTGTATACAGGAGAATGTTCTTTGGGGCTCACATACACATCTCAGAAAGTGCTGGGGACTGTGGGGTACATGTCCATTACTGAAGGCCTCTTCCTGTGTTGCTTTGCTTTGCTGTCTGGTTGAGGGCGGAAGAAGCTCAGGTGTAACAAGAGACTGCCTGGAGCAGTGGCCAAGAGGTAGGGTTCATCTAAAGCCTTTGGCCTCTGCGCTGCTACCCATTTGTTAGGAAAGTCATCCATGCCAATTAGACCCTGCTTGGTAGAGGGCTGTCCTGTCTGGGAGGCAGGTAAAGAAGCCATTGCGGGAATAGGTGATCAATGAAAGTGACACATTACTTATGCCTCCAGTTCTTCTTAGACAGTTAGCCCTCAATTAGCTCTCTGAAAAGCAGAGAAAATGCATGTACTTGCCTTGCTAATGGGCATATGGTCAGGACTAGGCAATTTATACAAAGAATTTAAGTTCTAAGATGGAATGCACCGAGATATTGGGATTAATGAGTTTCCGACTTGCAATTTTGGAAAAACTGTGTTTTTCCATACTTCTCCACAAGTAATGGTTTAATGGTAAAACAATAATGAAAAGGAACTAAACTTTTTTTCCGCCTTTATCCTGCTCAGATGAAAACTTGTCCAGGAGCAACATTTTCTCCTGCGCATTTAACGCCGTATTCACAGCTCATATCCCACAGGGCCCGGGTCGGTGGTGGTGTATGGTTAATGTCTATTCCGATCAGCCGGGCATCCATTCTGTCCGTGGGTGCCTGTGGTGGACACAGCCTAAGGTGACGCCCTCTCCCATGAGTTGATCATGTTCTTTTTTTTTTTTGGGGGGGGGTGTGGTTTGTGTTGTGGTGGTGTTGGTAGTGAGTCAGGCTCTTTAGAATCCGATCCCTCTGAGTGGGAGCAGAACCTGTGACCTGCTTCAAACCAATAGAATTGGGTGAACGTGATGGGATGTCATACTCCTGACCCCTGATGACCTTGGAGAAGCCAACAGTCACGTCCCAAGAGAACTTGGGGAGGCCACTGGCAGCTGTGTGGGGGGAGCCTCCAGGAGCACAAAGAAGCCCCCTAACAGCCAGCAAGAAAAGGAGGCCCTTGATGAAGGCCCAAATTCCATGTGCGAAATAAGACACAGGGATGAAAGTACAGCATGGGGTACATCGTAATTTCTTAATAACTATGTACGGTGACAGATGGTTACTTAGATTTACTGTGATCACTTCGTAGAGGATGTAAATGTTGAATCACTATGTTGTAAACCCGACATTTAAATAATATTGTATGCCAACTACAATTAAAAATAAATTTTTAAAAAAAATCCACTGCCAAAACATACACACACACACGAGAGACACTTAGTCCTCCAATTGCAACGAAATGAATTCTACCAAATACCTGAATGAGCCGGGAAGCCGGTCTTTTCCTAGCAGAGGCTCCACATGAGAACGCTGTCCACCCAACACCTTGACTGCTGCCTGTAAGGCCCTGAGCAGGGCCCGGCTGAGCTGTGCCAGGACCTCTGACCCACCAGAACTACTAGCTCATGAACGTGTTTTGTTTTAAGCCTCTACACTTGTGGTCATTTGTTACATAGCAACAAAAACCAAATTTGCTGCACGTGCTGTACCAGTTGTGAAGCATTCAACGACTGCCTGTTTCATTTGTGGCATAATTAACTACGCACCGCTCTGTAATACAATGTGATCCGCAGGCCTTGTGCTGTGACTAAGGACTCGGGCAATCGTGACTTTGCCTTCTAATGGGATTGTGAGTCCCCTGAGGGCAAGAACTCTGTTTTTGTACTTCTTAAAAGTCCCACAGCACCTTGACGTGCTTGGCACACAGTAGGTATGGAGTCATGTGTGATTTGAGTTTGGGGCCCTTCATCTGCCCAACTAAACTAAATGAGTCTTAGATTAAAGATGTAGAGGCCTGCAGCAAACTTGTACTGAGTGTCTGGGGGATGGCAGGTCAGGTCCCAGACATACAGAGAACAAGTCAAAACTCCCGCCCTGCCCGTTGTTTGTGGTTCAGCCCAACCCATGAGGTCTGGCAATCTCATCTCCTTACCATGCGGAATCAGAAGACACCCAAAGATTCCTAGAGTTCTCTGCCAGTCCATCAAATTCTGATTGTGCAGGTCAGGTAAGGGTGCAACCGGAAAGATCTTTGGTGACATTTTGTGAGTTTTTAGTTTGTGAGTAGAAGATGCCAAGGCCCCTGCGGTGCCCGTCTTCCAGGGAAACAGGGAGTGAGCCGTGAGGACACATGGCCACCCTCTGCTCATCCTCAGTAGCCCAGGCGGTCATCCCTTCAACTCTGACTCAGGGGGACGTATCCACATTCAAGCAGACCAGAGATCAAAGCCATAATAGGCAGGAGCTACTCTTTATTCATAGGTTTACAGAGTGGATCGAATTAAGAGGCATATCATTTGTTAACTCTACTTACCAAAAAGAGCTAAACATATATTCAGCCTTAGAATGCATTCATTGCAGCTTGCACACTGAAAAATTTGCTTTCAAATGCACATGAACTATTCTTATTTTGCCTAAATTATGCATTTAAAATACATAAAAATGGTACCAAGTGGCACATTGGCCTATTTTATCACAGGTCTTATACATTCCTGATAGTCAAAGGGGCTGATGGGGAATGCATAGTTTCCTACTAGAAAAAAAGGCAGATTCTCATACAAGCAATGGCGTAATGTACGGATAAGAGTGCCTCAGTTTAGATTTCAGTAGCTTTCCATATACTTCTTACTCTAATTAGTGTTATAATTGGTTTTCTTCGTGAATAATTGGGATGCTATTAATTTGCCTGATCATTCCACCGTCTACTTGCCTGGCTGAGGCAAAGAAAATCATTATGACTTTTTCTTTTCTTCCAGCTTATTTCCACTTTCCCCAAAGAGTTTCCTCCACCACAGCCATCTGCCCTGCTTTTCTGCCCATTTCCTTTACTTTTCCCCCAGGTCTGGGCCGTCTTACTCACTGAGTCAACAACTAGATCATTGCCCTCTAGCACAGGGTGCCGTTTAACAGAATCTCTGGCCACTGCCTAATTAAAGAACTCTTCTAAAGCAACGAGGGAGGGACCGGGGCTCCTGCAGAAGAATAGGGAAGCCAGCTCAAGACATTTTCATTAGGTGGCATGTGAACAGGCCGCCCCTCCCACAGGCCTTCCTCTCTCTCTCACTATACCCCAGTGGAGAAATTTCCATCCTGAGTGTTCCTGGCAGCCAAACCTCCAGCGTCCCACGCTGATTTCGCTCCTAAAAATACGCAGCCTCTCACTCCATGGGGAAGAAAAATGCAACCCTACCATTTCCAGCGCACTCCCCAAAGGCTGATGGCGGCCGGGAGCAATTCATCATCACTCATGCATTCAAGTTCTCAGCTTCCCCCCTCACGGGGGGAAAATTAGAGAAAAAAAAACACGTTCTTGTTTGTCTTGTGGACATTGTGACAAGAACCAGATGCATCTCACCCTCAGCGTCCGCCCCACAGGATGTGAGCGGAGAGAGGACCACGCCAGCTAGAAACCCTCTTTAGAACAGAAAACTATCTGAAACTTCTGGAACACATTCAAGGGTGGGGGCGGGCCGGTAATGGCGGTTCCGTGGTGTTTAATTGTTAAATGGTCCAGTTGGTGGGATGGTGTCTATGCAGCACTATTTTCCTTCGGGCCATGCACATTTTGTGGCACTTTTCATTTTATCTCAAGGTGCTGCTCTATTCAAAACCACGGTTAGAATGTTTTTGCTCAGAGAAGACAGCAGAGGCGCAGAAAGAAAACGCAAGGCTTGCTGCTCAGAGGGAAAGTTCTGTCTTGCCACTCCCTACTGGCTAATTTGGAGTGAAAATTGGCTTAAAATTTCTGTGTCTATTTCCTTCTCTCTGAAAACGGAATGAGGTCTGACCTCCAATCAACTGAAGAACTCCTTATGAGCAAATGAGATGAACACAAATATATGTTAAAAAATATAAAGCTTTGCTGAAATACAAGTTGGTCTTATTATCCACCGCTCATGAGCACAGCGCCATCCACACGGAGGGCTTATTTTTAGAGTCCTGATAAGAGATCTATTCCTGACTCCATGGCATTTGGGGACAAGTCCTTGCTTTAAGGCTGTGTATCTTGGCCACTTGGCCATGTGGAGGGACTCGGTGTGAGATCCTAGCCACCAAGATTGTAAAGAGATAACGAGCTGAGATGATCGACCAGTGGGTGGTGGGAACGGATGGAGAAAGAAGCACGTGCCCTCCTAAAGCTACCTCCACAGGGAGGGTCCCCATGTCCCCTGGGTTCGGATTTTTGTCGTCGCTCAGTTTTTTTCCTCTCACATTATTACTGGAAGAAATCTTCTTGCAGAAATTGTTTAAAACTTGAGGGACTCTTGGGATGGAGCAGTAAGATTAATGAAGCAAAGCTTCCCTCGCATCGCGCCAAGAACATCTACACTCCTTCAGTAAGTCGGCCAGAACAAATATCTCCTCCCTCAGCGCCGGGACTCTGCGGGCTGCAGAGTCGGATCCTGTCTAAAAGCTTTAGACAAGCAGGTAAAAGAAAAGAAACCCTGATTGCAGCTGAGTGGCTTGCCCACCCTCTCACCCTCCAACGCCCACCCCCATCATAAGCTTTAGATTTTTCTCCCTGTCTCACATGGACTCAGCAAGTCCCTCCACCCCTGCCCACACCCAGCCCAGCACCCTGTGCTCCCCGGTTTTCAAGGTTCTGGACAATGGTGAGCAGGTGGTGAGTGCACGTGGTTAGCCCCTAATTCCGCCCTCAGAGGTGAAGCTGGGAAGCTGGTGCGCAGCTGCATAGAAGCAGCACTGTGATGATGGCCCAGGTGCCTTCCCTGCAGACCTCTGAATCGGAACTTCATTTTGATCTGGCCCCAGCACCGCCTAAACGTCTCCTAGCTGACTGTTTGCCCAGAGCCTGTTTTCTCACCCAGCCTTGCTTGAGGGCTGCCAAGCACCAGAAAAAAAAAAATAGTTTGCCCATCTTGACAGCCCGAGGAATAGCAGGGCTAGTCCGCTCTCACCCTCCCCGGTGAAGGGATCTGGGCGTGTGCCGTCCATTCAGACAACCAGGAAGGCACAAGAACGCAGAAGAATCACTTGCACTTTAAAAGAGAAAAGCCCACCACGTTTCTCCTGTTTGTTTGGTGCTGAGTAGGAATGTTTCACGCAACGAAGCCACTGCGTGTGGATGAGTTTGTTCATTAAAATTCCTGGTGTCCTAAGCTAGAAGCCCTCGGTCTGCAGTCCCAGAATGTACCCAAGAGAGCTGCGGTGACATCAATGCATTGCTCTCTGTGTGCTATTTATTGCCTCGATCTGCGTTGCTTAAAGTCTGGAAACAACAAACACATTCATATCTGCGTCCAAATATCTACCTACTCGCGAGTTGGCCAACAAAAAAATCACTAAAAGAAATAACAGTGCAGTACAATGATTATGCTGTGCTCATAGCTAAAAGTTGTGTGTTCCTCTTTGAGAGCCACTTCTGAAAAGCATTCACTTGATATTCTCTGAAGAGACCCAGCTAACCAGGCAGGACATCCCCCAGACCCTTCCACAAAACCAGACTCCCCTCCCCCACTGCCCCACGATAACAGTGGTCTACGCCAGAGAGGCCCGTTTGAAAGAAGCCACCTGGGCCCCTGGGTGCAGACCCACTCTGTGGGATTCAGCTCCACAGCTGGTCCCTACTGATCAGCTGGTCCCCACCCCCATCCTGTATGGGATGCGCCCCCTGGCAGCGCATGGCCCGCACTGAGCTAAGGACAGAGAGAGGAAGGAGCGTGCCGTCCAGAGCACCCCACCTTCTACAGTTTGGTGCTGTAGCACCTTTGGGAGGGCTGTGTTGGCAGCAGCATCAGCACCTCAACCAAGCAGACTGTTCCGTGAGTGGGGAGGTACGCAGGTGGGCAGGTAGGTTGGTTGCTATTTAATTACTTGGAATATTAAGCTGCCCAGAGAGCAGACATGCATAAGTCAGAGGGCCATCGCTAGGTTTCAAAGTACGCCGAGATTTGTGTCAAGCCCTCCTTGACGCCACAAAATCTTACTTCAAGAATCCTCCCCAGGTGGCATACCTACTCTATCACTCTACAGGACAGAATGAAAAGCACCTTGGGTCTCTGGGCCGTCTGCTGGTTACCCGCACCCTCAGAGGATGGGGTCAGAGAAGCAGGTGAGTCCCAGAGCGCATCAAACGGGCCCCGTTGCTCCAGCCACCACGGGGGGCAGCTCTGAACCACAAGAAGAGGAGAAACTCCTTTGTTTTGCTCCTGGGCCCACAGCCCGTGCTGGGCCTAGACATGTATCAGCAGAATATTTTTTTTGTAGCAAAGGAGGCAATTTGTTAAACACTATTTGTTGACACACCCATGACAAGCATCCATATGAGCCAATGAAATAAATAGGGTTCAGCTAATAAGGGTGGGGGGTGGGCTTGGGAAATTGGGATGGCTCAAAATAGCATTGCTGAGTGTTACCAGATTTTTAAACTTATCATCAGCAAATCTTTTCAGCTGACTTTGGCTTTAAGAGTCGTTACCAGAAAGATTGGTAAGACAGGATGAGAAAGGCCCATGGTTTGTTTGGTCTTTTTAAAGAAATGTTCATTTTAAGAGTCGTCACATCTTATCCAATTTTCTCACTTAAAAACAAAACAAAACAAAAAAAGCACATTCCTTTCCTAGATGGTAAGAGTTAACACTGTACTCTTTTCTCAAGAATTACAGGCTTTACGATGTCTTTGTAAATGGGAGAATGGGCAAGTCATGCAGTCAGCCAATAAATGCAATCCCTGATTAAAATGTGAGTTCTAAAAGTTCGAAAACTTCTAACTATGTCCCCGATGCATGTTTATTGCCAGACCTCTGCACCTGGCTGCGTTTTAAAGATTTGTCCTCGTCCTGTCTTGGGACAGCTACTGCCACGCATCTCTCAAGTTCACCCAGCGCCCTTCACAAGCTTAAGTCAACCACAATGTGCTCAAAAATCTTTGTTTTCCCTTTGAAACTGGATGCAAAGAAGAAATCTCTCCTGTCGGTAGAGACCGCTGTGAAGCAGCGAGGTGCCTGCACATAAATCTCCTTAAATTTCTTGAACAGCTGCTTCTCTTTATCCCACTGATAGATCTGAGAGAACGTGTAGTCACTGCCCAGGGCCAGGTAGTGGTTCTCCTTAAAGGAAAAGGGCTGCAGGGTCATGGCCCCCCGGGAGGGGAGAGCCTGGATCTCCACAAACTGCTTACTGTTCCACCTCATGACCCTGGAGTCCCCGATGAAGCGGGTGAGGGAGAGGTAGAGGGCGTTCTGCATCCGGAAGCTCTTCACGGCCAGCACATCCTCCATGTTGGGGATATCACTGTGGGGGACAAACTTCTTGGAGCTTTTGTTCCACTGCAGGATGATGGGGACCTGGGAGCGGCTGGACAGGATCAGGTGCGACTTCCCGTCGATGTCCACGAACTCCGCGTCCGTGTCCCTGAACCACTCGTGCAGGGACTGGTAGGAGTAGAACCCTTTGCTGTTCCATTTGTAAACCGTTGACAGGCCGGCTTTCGAGCTGTCGGCAATGACAAAGAATGTCTCGTCATCTATCTGAAACAGCTCGATGTCGTTGGGCTTGGAGATGCGAGAGACTTCGATGTCTTGGAATTTGACAAACTTGGTCCAGCTCTCGTCATACTTGTAAATGTGAGAGCCACCAAAGAGCTGGGCCACCACCACAAAGACCTGGTCGTCGATGAGGATAGCCTTACAGCCCACGATGGACTGACCTGTGCTCCAAAGGAAAGGAGAGGGGTTAGGGCAGCCATGGATACAGGTGCGCCTCCACGGTGACCCTGGGATCCGGGGGAACTGCTGGTGAGAAATCTGTGATGGGGCGGCCCCAATGGAAACCATAAGAAAATTAAACCATTGGAAAAATGAACAAAGAATTACCATAGGATCCAGAAATTCTGTCTCTGGATCCTTGGCCAAAAGAATTCAAAGCAGGGTCTTGAAGAGAGATGTGCACACCCGTGTCCACAGAAGCTTTATTCACAATAGCCAAGAGGCAGGAGCCACCCAGGTGTCCACTGAGGGATGAATGCACTAATAATGTGGGTTTTCCCTACCATGGAACATTACTCAGCCTTTAAAAGGAAGGAGATTCTGATACATGCTGCAGGGTGGATGGACGGTGAGGACGGCAGCCAAGTGAAACAAGCTGGTTCACAAATGCACAAACGCTGTGTGTGGTTTCACTCGGATGAGGGACCGAGAGCAGTCAGACCTGCAGGGACAGGGAGTAGAGGGGGGGCTGTCTGCTCTGGGAGGAGGGGGCAGTGGGGAGCTGCCGCTCAATGGCTGTCGATTTTCAGTGTTTCCAGACGAAAGGGTTCTGGAGTGCGGCTGCACGGTAACGCAAATGTACTAAACACAGCCGAACGGTACACTTCCAAATGGTTAAGGCGGTCAGCATTATGCTATGTCTGTTTTCCCATAATCAAAGGGTTTTAAACGCTCTTTAGTACATGGTGGCTCCATAGAAATAGGGAAGGGCTGGCTGCCTGGGTCCCTGCGTCTTTAGAGGCAGGCATTCAATTCAGGAAATTCACGGCCACACCAAAGGGATTGTCTTCATGCTGTTCAAAAAAGTACTTCCCAACTCCACAGGGCAGAATGAGGCCATTAAATGGGCGCCCTTTCTGGGCTGGTCGGGGTGGGGTTGGGGAGCTGGTGTTAAAGGGAGGCCTGAGGCCTCATGGGCAGGAGGAAAAATTGCTAATAAGGGCTCTTGAAGACATTCGGCCTCTGCTGATTTCCAGAGCTAAAGGAAACCGAGGCAGCATGGTGTTAAACCCTATGACTCCAGACCAGTGGCTCAAGGTTCCAAATGAAGCCCCGCACCTGAAAAGCTTTGTTGCCCTGAGCCAGTCATCTGGACTCTGTGTACTCAGGCTCCTCGTCTATGAAACGAGACTAAGGATGCAGCCAGCCCTGACCTTACAGGGCTGCCGTAGAGACGCAGTGAGACGTGTCCTGGTTCAGGTGTTAGTCCAGAGCATCCACACACAGGAAGGAGTCGATAGCTAGTAGCTATCATTACGGAGTCACTGAGGCAACAGTTTCAGTGATCAAAGATTTAGCTCCTTGAGAGGCTGCCCACCACACAAACACCCGTAGGATGAGTGATGATCGGGAGATCTGCCTCAAGTAGTGCAAAACCAGACCTTCGAAGCAAAGAGGGAATAACTCGCATGAAGTCTGGGCCACCTCCCACCACCCTCTCCCACTCTGCTTTCAGACCCCAGACAACCCCCACCGTCCCCCCCCATTCCAGCCAGCAAGCAACAGCACCCCCATGTTTCAAAAGTATTGACCCTCCATCTACATCATTTTATTAAAAGTTCTTTCCTCTAGTTTTCTAGGTAATTTGGACCAAAGTGAATTTGATCTGTAAATTACAAGGGAAGCCACCCAGTTTCTGTCCTTGGCAATAACTTTGGAGGCAGGCAGTAGGTGGCTTTTACACCGATATTAACTTTTATCTTTCACTACATTGCCTTCTTGCAAGAACCTGGTCCCTTTCCTCTGCTTCTTGCATTTTTTCTGAGTATCGAAGTTTTAAAAGTTCACCAAAGCAAGTTTTAAAAATAATAATAATAGGTAGCCTTTATAAAGTGTATACTATGACCAAGCACCACACTACGCACTTTATATGTATCTTTACTTATTTAATCCTACACCAACCAGATGAGGCAAGTACTAGTGTTATCATGGTCCCCATTTTAGAGAGGTTGAAACTGAGGCATGGAGCTTATGCAAGGTCACACAACTAGAATGTGATCGAGATGGGAAATTTATCACTAACTAGTCTGGCTCCAGTCTACACTCTGTCAACAACACACCAAAAGGCACAAAAAATAAAAATAAAAATCACTGGTATTGCAAATGCTGAAGTAATACTTCATATCTTGATGTATTTTCTTTAGTCCTCAATTTATGCTCACATTCAAATGCACTTTTTTAAGAATAAATGTGAGCTTATGGGATGTATACATGGGTTTCTTATAACCTACGTGCTTCTCACCTGACTGGTACGTTGTGGCCATTTCCCCATGTTACTGCATCTTCTATAACTAGAGTTTTGACCACTACCCAGAACTCTGCCGCATGAACGCACCATAGTTGAACTAGTCCCTATTGTTGGGCATGGCAGTTATTTCTAGCTTTTCATTATTGTGAGTAACATGCTTCCTTGTAGAGAAATCTTTTTTGGAAAACCATCTGGCAGTGTTCTTCAGTGTTTGCTGAGTCAAACATTGTGCACATTTTTAAAGGCTTCTGGGCTTAAACTACCAAGCTGCTCTTCGAAAGCTGCACCGACTCCCCCACCCCCCGCCGACTCTAATTGAGAGTGCATGCTTCTGGTCTCCTTCCTGAACTGCCTGGCCATGGAGGTCCCTGCTGCCCAGAAGCACCCTCCTGGCCTGCCAGCTTCAGCAGAGGAGCCTGGGAGGCAGAAAGAGCTCATTCTTTAGGAATGTTCCACAATGCCTCTGTGCATGGAGGTGCCCGTAGGAGTGGAGATCATAGTGTGTGCACACGTGTGTGTGTGTGTTCTAACGTAGGAAAGAGAGACTAGAGACTGGACCATACTTTGTACATAGAAATCAAAAGGCAAACAAAACAAGTCAAAATTAGAAGAGCTGAGAAGAATGTGGAAATAAAAAGGAATAAACGCTTGGGGTGAACACGACCTTGGGTTTCCCTTGCCCCCTAGAAGATGATGCCCAGCTGGAGCTGGCTCTTTTGCCCAGTGCTCACTGGGGTCACAGGGAGGAAGCAGGCGTCCCTTCCACTCCTCAGAACTCCAGTCTCGCCGGGCCGGACTGAGAAAATCCCGCCCAGCCCCTGCCTGACTCTGGGATGCCCCTGTGACCAAACAAGATGGCAAAGGAGGCATGCACGCCCCGTGAAGGGAAGCAGTCCACATTCACCATGGTCTTCCTCAGGACAAGTGGTCGCGTGGCTGTTCCCTTGCTTAGCCATCTGCCCGGCACATGCGTGCTGCGGGGCTTCCTTCAGGCCAGGCTCAGGTCCAGCTGGCCACACTCCTTCCTGCACGCAGGGGTCCACCTACTTCTGCAGACGCCCCTTCCCCTGCCTCCCTCAGGCCCTTCCCTGCTGGTCCCTGCCAGTCCCCAGGCTAATGAACATTGCAGAGAGGTTTTAACTGAAGTCAAAGAGTTAGGGTCTGTTGGGGAAGGAGGCCTGCTCCTGTCTCTTTTTCCCTGTAAAGTGGAGACAGTAGTATGCATGTCAAGAGGTTACGCAGTTTATGACAGAAAAGGCTTATAAATCACTGCATACATAGATGTCAATTGTCTTCCTCTCAGTGAAAATTGTGTGGCGATGAATGTAATCTGTGTTTAACAGAAACTCATGTACTGAGGGAGGAGAGAAGGCAGGTGTTTTATCCCAATCAGGTCATCAAGGAGTGCTTCCTGTAGGAGGCTGCATTTGAGCCTGGAGACCCGGGTGAAGGGAGAAATATAAGCAAGTGAGATGGCTGAATTGTAAGCTGTGATCCGAAATCAATAAATGACGTAAAATAGGCCACACATATCAGGCAGGCGTGTTGGGACCCTGCTGCGTGGATCTGTGTGCTTTCGTGAAGAAGAGTAAACGCTCTGCAGCTGGCAGCTTCCCCTAGTGGTGGTGGCAAGGAATGGAAGTCAAATACCTATTTCTTACTCCCCACTGATGACCCAACATTCATCGAGGAGTTACTATGTACTGGGCTCTGTGCTAAGTGTTCTACCCATTACCCCCATTCCATTCCCATGGGCCTAATAATGCTACCATGGCCCCATTTTACAGATGAAATGGGAATTCATGAAATTCCAGCTATAAAGATCTGCAGCCACTTTTATCAAACACCCGTGTGATGTCCATGCTTGTAAACTGTACCACTGTTGGAGCTCATTTCTTGAGCTTGGCTGTGAAGAGAAGCCCAATGAGCTTCGTGACTGACTGCCACCTCTCAGACTCAGACTTCGAGACTGAGGGCCCAGGAATCCCTAAAAACTAGCAAGGTCCAGCCCTGGCTCTGGCCATGGCCACACCCACTCTGACCTCACTGACCACTTCCTACCCCCCACCTATGTGGCCTCCACTGGGTCCGGGCCTTTGGTGCCCACCTGAAATTCTTGCAACAGCCTTTCAGCCCTTCACTCTCTTTCCACCTCTGTTCCTCCTCCCACAGGCCACTCTCCACCCAGCTGGACCCAACACACCACTCTGCTAGGCACCCGCCTCTTCCTGGGCGGCCCTCCAATCTCTGCACACAGTCCTCCAAGGCTCCGCGGAGCCCTTTGTAAGACCTGCAAGGCCCCACGATAGACCCTTCTTACCTCTCTGACTTTGTCTTTGCAACTCTCCCCTGGATCGTTTTGTTCATGCCACACTGGCCTCCTGAATTGCCCAAACAAGAGACCCTCCCACCTCTGGATCTTCACACTGCTGTTCCCACTGTCTGGAATGCTCCTGCCCAAGTTCTTCATGTGGATCAAGCCCTCAGGACTCACAGGTCTAACTCAGATAACACCTGCTCAGTGAGGCCTTTACCATCTAAAATTTCAACCTCCCATACCCGCCCACCTTCATTTTGCTTCTTAACATGCTGCTATCTAAGTGTTATACGTATTACAATTATTTGTCCTTTTTCTTCTCTTTCTCACTCTCCTGTTAGAATGGAAACTTCTTGAAGGCAGATGTCTTCATCTGGCTTGTTTGTTGCTACGGCCCCAGCACCAAGACTATGTCTGGCTCAGGGTGAGTGCTCTAGGAATCTCTGTGAGTGAGTGAGTGAATGAATGAATGACTTGAACTCAGGCGTGCCATGAGCACTGGTGAGGGGCAGTGCCAGCCCTTCCTATCCATGCACCAGTGACAAACCCTGGGCTCTGCAGGATTATCTGCAGAAGTCACAGTGGAGTGACTCATCCACAATGATGTGGAGAGGAAGCCAGCATGACGAGCTGCCTGCCCTGCGCCTGGCACTCGCCAATCCTCACGGCCTCCACCTAGGGGGTGTAAGCCCATTTTGCAGATGAGGAAACTGAGCATAGGGGGCCAGCAGGACTTCCAAGTACATGGCAGAGTCAGGAGTAGAACCCACATTCGTCACTTTTCAAAACCCAAGCTCTTCAGAGTCTGGGTGCCAGCTTCCCCTTGAATGGAGGGCCTTCGTCCTCTACCTGAGGGCAGACAAGCCACAGTGTTACCCCCAGTGGCTGCTGTGAGTTTCCAATGAGACAAAGCAGCATCTGGCTCTGCAGGCTCCCAACCACCACTGGCAATGAGCGTGGACACTGAAAACTCCCTGCACAAGAGCAAAGCATCACTCTACTCCCACCTCGTATCATGGCAGAAGGCAGGGGGGCCAGCTCTCTCACCCCTTACCTACCTTCCAAGTCAGGGGAAAAGAGGGAAAAAAGCACATGGGTAACGAGTCCCTCTCTTGCCTCCCTTTTTCCTTTACTGTGGACTCAGTTTAGGGTCCGAAGGCCTCAGCTTCCCTCTACAGGTTCACCTGCACTGCTCTGTGCTGAATCTGCACTTGGACAAGCGGGCTGCTCTCAAGAATGTGAGCTCAGCACCAGGTGGCCAGATGGCTCGACAGCAACATGGCTCATCTAAAAGGGCCTCTCGCTGGCATCTGTGTGCGCGCCTCACAGGCCTCTCAGGGCTGTGAGATGAGGCTTGTTACGACACTTTCCCTGCCTCTCTGCATCCTGCACCTGCTACGAGGCCACTTGGTGCCGGAGAGATTCCTGGGAGCCTCCCCGTCCAGAAATTCTGCCTAGATACGCTTCTCGCTGTAACAGCAAAATGCTGCTCTAACTCCAAATCGGGAACCGCTAAAGGAATTCTCTCAGGGGGTAACAGTTGGGCCACTGTGATGCTGTTTATAAAGTTAGTAGCATTATCAGATTGCACTTGATAAATGAGAAGTCTTTGAAATATTATTTTGACTTTATCCACTTACTTAAAAAGCGAGACCATCCATTTTTAGTAGCACTAAGACCCTGGGATGCCCTGATGGTGCTGAAAGAAGCGCTAACCCTTGTCCCAAAGGCCTGAATCTAACAGCCATGTGTTCTTATTTTGTTTGCACTTATTAAAAGGAAGCAGTGATCACCAGGACCTGGCAAGGGGGAAGGAAGAACAGCTAGAGGGTGTACATGTGTTTGCATGTGTGCTCACACGTGTCTGCATGAGCACTGTGTTGGCGCATGCCTGTGTGTACACATGTCTGTGTGCAAGCACATGTGTGTCTGTGTTGCATGTATGAATGTGTGCACATGTTCATTACGTGTTAATCAACTTTTAAAACGTCAAAGGAGTCATGTAGATGCTACAGAGCTGGTGCCCTCTGAGGCAGCCACGACCACTCAAGATCAAGGTGTTCTCGGGTCACTTCTCACCTCTCCAGGAAAATGCCCCCCACCATAGGCAACCGGTCACCCTCTCCCTTTCAAAAGGGTCACCAGCAATAAACAGGATACCACATGAGGCTTCTGGTCTCTCCAACAACGGGGCACATCGTGAAAAAAACAGAGAGACGGGGTTAGGCTGGAACAAGTCCCCCAAATCTAACCAAGAGAGAGAGCAAGCGGTCTCAGCAGAATACGTTCCTTCTCTTGCTGGAATGAGGCCCGCACATCCGATCAAAGCCACGACACACCTGTGATGTTGTCGTAGCTCCGGAAGTTCATTTCGATGTGGTCCCATTCGAGCACCATGCAGTTCTCCATGCTGGGCTGGGCGATGGCCACGTACACGTCGTTCTTGGAGTTGAACGTGTCCACCGAGACCGACTGGTAGGGCAAAGTCTGATGGACAACAAAATCTGGGGAAGGGTGTTGGGACAGAAAGCCTCCGTGAGAGCTCCTGTGGGAATGACCGACCACCCCCTTTTCTCCTCTCATCAGTTCCCCCAAAAAGGGGAAGGAGAGGACAGGAGAGAAGCAACGCAAACATCACAGTGTGCTTGGCTTTGGGGCAAGGTTGTGGCGTGCACAGGATTATCAGACTGAACGCACAGCTTCTAATACAACCTCTTTGAAATAAACAGCTGGCGGGTTTGGCTAAAAGATCTCAGTGTTTTAAACAAATTGGGTGAGACCTGGCTTTCAAAAAGGCAAGACAGAAGGGATGCCACAAAGCAGCATTTCATGAACATTCCTCCGTGAACAAGGGGGAACGTGGGTAACTTCATTTGGGGAACGCTGTATTTCCAGCCCTCTCAGGAGAAACCTTGGAAATACAGAGCCCTGTCTGTGGTGTTTGCTGTGGCGGGCCTCCAAACCTGATGGTGGGGTCCTTTTAGCCCATTAGCACACTCCCCTGCTCTGCAGCACCCGGCACGAAACTGTGCTGGTGGGGTCACAATGAAAAGTTGACTCCCAAATGGCACACTGCACATGTGGAAGCCAAACCAAACCCTCTGATACGGCCTAGGAGATTTATAAAGCCCCTCATGCAGGGGAATTGAGCATGTTTGCAGGTTCCTGGACCCAGTGCAGGGTGAGTGGCAGCTATGCCTGCGGTCTGGAGACCTACTGGAGTTTCAGGCATGTGCTTGACTCTTACATTTAGTAGTAAAGTAACAGCCCTTGTCCACATCACTCCCCTGACTCACTGTATTAGACCTTGGGAGGGAACATACAATCTCACCAAGGAGCAGGGCGCAGACGCTCTCAGGGGCACAGACCGTTGGGGGTGGGGGGGGGGAGGAAGCCAGAGAACTGATGCAGAAAAGGAAGAAAAGAACACTAGTAAAGTATAAGAGAAGTTATTTCTGTGGCCAGAGAGCTTTCCACGTGCACTGCTTCGTGGCAGGTTAAAAGCGCCCAGGACACAATGATGGGGGCAGTCTGGCTAAGGAAAGTCGCTGCTACGAAAAAGTCCTGGATTTGCCCATCTATTCCCATCCCGTCTTTAACAGTGCCCCCTCAAGTCCCATCTCCTCTGCAAAGCCTCCCCTGACCCTTCCAATCCTCAGGACCCTTCCTAATTCACTGGCACATAAGCAGGCCCTGTTGTTTACACCTTATTATTCACAATGATTGAATCTTCAACGTGGTGACATCGGCGTCAGATTTGGAGAAGTGGGAGAGAGCCAGAGCCTGGAGGGACTTCACAGAGCCAGGAGCCCAGATAGGCTGTGTCTGCCCTTGGGCACACAGCACGGTGCATCTCCTGAACAACTTTAAGGGCTTTAAGGTCAGACCTGGGGCCTATACTTCTCAGAGCCCGCATGGCACGACCCCATGGCACCCACTCAAGAAATAACTCTGACATGGAAGCCTCTTAAAGCTGTTACACAAAACAGGCAATAAAGGGACAGGCCACCCACGAGTGAGTAAAGAGGGACGGTGCTGAAGGAGTGGAGGCGGGAACAGAGGTGAGAGAAGCACTGAGCAAGTGCTGGCATAGGAAGCGTGGTGGCGGGAAGAGCAGGTGCCGGTCGGGGCAGTGACGATGGGCACGACTGAGGAAGTGAGGGCGACATGAGGCACTAGAAAGGGCACTGCACCTGGAGCTGGACCACCTGAAACCACTTCCTGCACAGGAGAGACACTGCGCACATGCTTACCCTGACAAGGCCTCAGTTTACTGATCCACACTATGGGTGCACTGGTGCTCTCCTCCCAAGCTTAATGGCAGAGGGACACATGGGCCAGTGTTGGTGGAAATGCCTACCTTGGGGCTTAGCACATTGTACTTGCTTAATAAATATGGAATTGAGGTCCGAGAAAGGATGGTCCACCTCCCCTGTCCCGGCCACCACAGGGCTGTCACTTGGAGGAGTGTCCATTTTAATGGGATTGAAGACAAAACATCAGAGCTGTGACTCCATCTGCCTGCTGAGTGACCTGGAGGAAGTCGCTGAACCTCTGCCTTGGTTTCCTCATTGTATATTACGATCCACACTCACTTAGACCTGTACAAAGTTGGCGCCTGGTGCACGTTAACTTTCAGAGGTGGCCCTCCCTGTGTACAGTTGGTGCTTAATCAGTGCTGCTGGCTCATTCTGAAGACTGTGGGGGGTTCAGGCAAGGACAAGGCTGAGTGGACGGTGCTCAAATGTACAGTGAGAAGAGGGAGAAGCAAAGCAGAGGCTGTCTCTGCACGCCAACAGCTAGAGGTAGCCAAGGGGGAATAGGGACAGGTGGCATTGTGGACGGGGCCTCATCTGTGGTCACCCCTTGGTAGTGTTATGTAAGTAACTATACAAGTACATATAGTTTTATGGTCATAGTTCCAATGATAACCTTAGGCCGCCTGCATGAAAATATGGAAGAGTCGTGATGGCCCCTAGCCCCAACCCTCTACCAACATCCCCAAAATACCACTGATCAGCAGTCAAAGAGCAAAGCAGAAAACGTCAGCCTTGGTTCTTGCCTGCTGGCATGGGCAGAACCGGTGCAGAAGGAGCACTGGCCTATGACTCAAGGCTCCTCTGTGCCCATGGGTCACTATATGGGAAGTGGTAGCAGGACCTGTCTGCACCCTCTTCTGGAGTTAGAAAAGGACTCAGAATACTGGTGCATTCTTTCAGTGACAACTGAGCCGGCTACAAAGGCATCCGGTGGCACCCCTCAGATCCACGTCTGCAGGAGCTTCTAAACACCGTGTGATCCCTGCAACACTTGTTCTAGTCTGTCTCCTGGCTACGCACTGAATTCTCAGAAACATGAGCATCTTCTTAAACACGGAGGTCCTTGAAAGTGATGACCAAAAAGTCAGCTTTTAATGAACAAAGCCCAGAATGAGAAAGAGCTGCCAGAGTGGACAGCATTTTACAAATCTAGCCTTCAGTGGTCTGATGATCATTTGTTTTCCCAAAACATCATCATATTTTCTATAAATTGAGTATCTAGCACAAAAGAAACTGTTACGTCATTCGACTCATAAATCCAGTTCTAAGGAGACTCCTCTTCCCTTCCTCCCTCCCACCCTGCCCCCCAATTAAAAAAGGAAGAAGAAGAGAAGAAGAAGAGGAAGAAACTGGGTGGAAGAAAATGCTGGATGCAGATGTACAATGTGTGTAGCGGGGAGGGGGCTGGAATTTAAAGATCTTCCATCCTCATCTTAATTTATCTTCCGCAAATGGCAAACGCACATTCATGTGGAAAGCGCTCAGAGAATGCCCATACTGATACGACACCAATTTACTAGTGTTTAAGTATTATTGGTATTCTCTGCAAAAGCCTGCCACTTCCCTTCTCGCTGGATTAGTTCATGATGTCAGTGGGACGCTTTCAGTTCAGGCGCGGCTCCCACTGGAATCAACAGATTTTTACACAGCTATTTATAGCACTTGCAGGAAATAAATTATACATGATGCCTATCCTGTTGGGAGAGAAACTGCACATTAATGCATTATTTCTCTTTGCATTTTCATCAGCCCTGAAATAAGGAGGCTAACAGGACCATTAGGATGCAAAATTCACTCCCTCTAAGGAATTTAGTGAATTATCCACCTAATGTGGGGAATCATGAGCAGGTAACAGGGATTTCTGAGGTGGTTAAAAATAGACTTGAGGTGGAGGGTGCTGGCAGGACGGTGATTAAACTGGAGAGCTGAACCGGTCCAGGGCTTGCTTTGTGGCACTAATTACACCCCTGTGCCCGGAACGGTATCTGCCTCCCTTCTTCCACCTGAAGAACTCACTCTTTGCAGGCAAATCTGAGCTCAGAGGAAAACAATGCTTAGGGCACCTCTCCTTAGTGGAGAGGTGCTTCCTCCCAAACCTTTGGCGAGGATGCGTTGACGGTACCAACTTGAGCATGGGCTTTTCATCTTCCTGAGCCCTGAATAAAGCGACAGAGGATGACGCTTGATCTGAGCAGAAGATGACGCTTGATCTGAGCAGAAGATGGGAGCCCCCAAACCTCCCAGTTATTAACCTACGTTTCTACAAGGCAGGGACTCTACCTGGGGACTGGTCACAACCAGGCTGTGCCATTGTTTTTCAGGATGGAAGAAACTGGAAGCAAGATAATTTGTCCGTGAGTCTTCAAGGGAGAAAATAACAGACAAGAGTCATCTTCTCCCTGTTACCAGGGGAGAGAGCTGACTATCTCAATTTTAATTGGAAGCTTTTTGGCAAATTATATATATGTATATGAAAGAGAATGCCCTAAAATGCAGTAGGGGCTCACAGTGCCCTGTGGATTCTGGCTGTAAGATGGATTTTGCACCAGCAACCCGGGTGCCAAGGCCCCTCCATTCCCCTGACAGTTCTCAGAGCCTGGATTGTTTTCACAGCCATCCACAGGGCTCTGGGGTCAGAAATCATGCTGTGTCTCGCCTAAGTTATTCCCCCACGCCCCAAGGCCCTCTAGAGCCCGTGCCATTTCTCTCGGAGCCGGGCAACTTTTCATCCATTACGACCGGGAGTGAACAGCACAATGGAAAAGCTGCTAACTTCACATGGGGGGTTGGAGAATGCTCCAGAAAACCTGGAGAAGAGGTCGAGGGTTTAGCTTAGGATGAGCTAAAGGTTTAGCATTGCACACCAAATGGCCTTGAATGCCACCTTTGGGTGCAAATGTCCTTGACTCGACCTCTGATTTATCGCACTGCCGCACAACACAGTAAATAACCCGCAAGTGGCCTCAGCTGGCTACAGGGCACCTGCCGATTACACAGCTGAACAAGCTCCCACTCCGTGATGAAAGACAAGGCCATTTCCACAAGAGGTGTTCTCTCAGAAAGGAACAGGACTGGTAGGGTCCCTTATGTACCAAGGTACCTAGAAATAATTTTTACTTTCTGACGGCTTGTTTATTTGGAAGACGGCAGCAGGACTGGCCTAAATGTGATATTTTATTCTTGAAGTTCTTTTGTCTTTTTAGTTTCTGGAACTATTTTCTGAGTTCTCATTCCTGCTACTCCTACTGACATGCCTGGAGGCCCTGTTGATATCAAATCTCAGCCCGCATGCTCATTTTTTCTAAGTCTGATGAGCAAGTGTCGTGCTGTGGATTGATCCTCTCTCCTTGACAAGCCAACTTCAGAAGCTGCGGCAACTCCGTCTACGCCCGCCACGTGGGGACACTCGCCTGCCCTCTACCGGGTGTGCAGAGTTAGAACAGTGGAGCCTGGGTTCTCCAACTTACTTCGTCCCAGAAGGCCTTTCGAGAGCCAAATTGCTCGAGATGGGAGAGGTTGGAGAACTGAGGTTCAACCGTATTCTAATTTTATCTTTATAGCCTAAAAAAGGTATAAACTGAAAACTTAACGCAGGCCCTCAAGTTTTCGGTTCATACAAAATCAAACTTTACACTTTCCCCTCAATATGAGTTGTTTCTTTTGACAACTGTTAACTTATATTTCTATTTTGCCATTGGTTATAATTTAGCTAATTATCTTTTTTTTTACCTGGAACTATGTACACAATTTATAGATTTTTAAAGTCTATAAACTTGAACTTTAAATATTCAATAAAATTCATAGAATTTAATCATTTTGGTTTCTGTGCACTAGCTTTCCACGGAAACCCAAACTGATTTGAAAGCGTTTTTGTGCCAAACTCACTAGTTTATACTTCATTCTTTTAAAAAATATCTTTTGAGAAATTTGAATTTTGTAAATAATCAACAAGACTCAACATTAAAGCCAGTGCAGTTAACAAAAATCTAAACCGTTGAGATATTTTGTTTGTACCACATCAATTCATATCTTTTAGAATGCCTGAGTTTTGCCTAAACTGCTTTTGATAGAAAATTTTTACACCCACTTTTCTCCACTCCCTGTTGAAAATCTAAAAGAAAATTAATGGATTACTCCACATAACCATCTTCCATGACAGAGGTTCTGAGTACCTGTAGTTGTGCATTCGTAGTCAAAGCTGGTCACGTCATTTAGCTTCTTTTCCTGGTACTCGGGCGGGCCGATACACAGAACATCCGAAACAGTGGAGTTTGTCATCTTCAACCACAGGTACAACCACTTGGCTTTGCAGTCACATTCAAATTTATTGCCCCTCAAATCTCTAGAAAAATCAATAAATAAAGCAAAACACAAACACAGAGAAACAGACATGTGTTTTGGAAGTAATACGAGACCCCAGAATCATTAACATCTTGATGGATTTAATACCCCCCCAAAAAACGTAATTCAAAACTTTTTTCTAACACATCCTATTTCTTGTTCTTACCACTGCCTTTATTTAATAATCTTCAGTGCCTATGAACTGAACTATTATGGCCTACAGAGAGCCTTCAGAGGCTACATACACCATTTCTCCAAACTGTCCCTGTGCCGCGCTGGACGCGGGAGACACAGCAGGTGGACATCACCGGACACAGGTTCTCACCGTGGGAAGCCCGTTTTCACAGACACGGCTGAAGTGGGGAGGTCTCGTTAAACGGTACCCAGTGAGAAGGGCCAATGCTAGCAGGCAAAACTCTATCTCTGGGAAAGGGCCTAATGCTCCGATGTCTATTCTAAAATGGCAAAATCCAATCCAATCCAGACTCTGAGCTGTTTCCTAGTGAGCACCTCCTTGTCATAGAGTCTTTAGAGTCTACAACATAAGAGAAATGCAGTAAAGAGGGAGAGAGTGTTTAAAGACATGATTAACTGGGGCACAATGACAAGCAGGCATAAACTTGATTTTCATTACTTACAGTTCAATCAGAGAGTCTAAATCACTGAAGACATCTCTTGGGAGTGCTTTTATGTGGTTATTGGCCAAAGAACTAGAACAAGAAAGTAACATTTTAATGTGGTTATTATCTTCATGCCCTATTACTCTGAAGTCCCTTAAATAACGTAATGATTTCAAATAGAGCTCTAAACCTCTTCAGCACACTGTGGTCCAATTCCAGCTTTGGTCATCAACACTGGGATACAGAAATGAGTTCAGTCATATGAAAATAACATTAGAAATGCTGGAGTGCAATGTAAATCTTTTGTTTTGTTTTTAAAACAAGCATTTATTAAGCTCTTCATATACATTTGTGAAACCTCAGACAGCACTGTGTGTCTCAGAATAAAAGCCACAGTCCCTTTGATGGCACGCAAGGCCCTCCATTGTCCAGTCTACCTCCACCCCCACCTACCTACAGGGCAGTATGCACACAACCAAGATCCAGCTATGCTGGCTTCTTTTTAAAAAATATTCTTTACCCTGGCTGGCATAGCTCAGTGGATTGAGCATGGGCCTGTGATCCACATGATCGTGGTTCGATTCCCAGTCAGGGTATGTGCCTGGGTTGCAGGCCAGTTCCCAGCAGGGGACACATGAAAGGCAACCATATACTGATATTTCTCTCCCTCTCTCCTTCCCTTCCCCCTCTAAAGATAAATAAATAAAATCTTTAAAAAAATATTCTTTAACTGATTTTAGAGAGACGAAGGGGGGAGGCAGACAGAGAAAGAGAGGGAAAGAGAGAAATGCTGATTTGTTTTTCCACTTATCATGCATTCACTGGTTGATATTCTTGTATGTGCCCTGACCAGGGATCAAACCCGCAACCTTGGAGTATTGGGATGACATTCTAAACAACTGAGCTCCCTGGCCAGGGCACACTGGCCTCTTTGTCATTTCTCAAACAGGAGAAACACAGTCCCAGCTCAAGGCCTCTGAATTTGCTGTCCTTCTGTCTAGAATGTTCTTCCCCCAGGGCCTCAGAGCTCACTCCAGCACCCCCTACCTCTGTCCTCAACTACCTCTGAGCTCTATACATCTTTCTCACCGACTCCGTTCTTCACTGCACGACTATTACTGGGCACACTATACATTTTATTTATCTATTTGTTTATTGACTGTGTATTTTTCCTATAGATAAGCAACATGAGGAAAGATTTCTGTCCATCCACATTTGCATCCTCAGCTCATAGAACAGTGCCCGGCACATAGTAGGTACTCAATCAATCTTTGTTGAATGAATGAATTATGCACTAAAATGACAATGACTTAAAAAAAGATGTACAGTCTTGCGCCAAGAAGTTCCCTAATAGTACATTTAAGTGAATGCTATCTATCACTGATGACTCTTAAGAAAGGACTCAGTAAATATACACTTTCATATTAAGACTTCCAGCTCTAACCTTAACAATAATATAAAATCTCAATGAACCTCGTGTATGAAATGAATGATGGTGATCAATTTAATTTTCTCATTAAGGCGAGTTGGCTAGAAACCGCTCCGCATGTTTGCTCTTTGTGTTGAAGAGCTTCCTGAAATGTCCTATCCCACCCTCGCTCACACAGAAGGAGACTTGCAGGAACACCATCAACAACTCCTCCAAAGATCTGGGACTTTGCAGCCCCCTGCCGTCATCCTGCTAAAGACAAATGTCCGCGGGCTGGCAGGCTGCTGACGTTGACAGATGCTGGTGCTGAAGTGCTGCTCACCAGGCCCGCGGTTCCCGCTCTCCAACCCCCCACCCCCGCTTTCTGCTCTGCTGTGAGTCAGCCACCAAACTGATGCCTACAGCTTTTCTCTCACACAGGAGTACAAACAGCAAAACTATAAAGGATAAACACGTAGGCGATTCAGCACCAACCTCTTTAAATATATACATGAAATTAGTCTTTCATAGCCCCAGAATGACCCGTTGCAGAAAGAAGAATCAAAGAAACACACACTACTCCTTGGACTCAGCTGGAATGGACAGCTAAAGCCCGTTTCAAATTGACCCTTCTGGCTTCAAAATACTAACAGAATATGGGGAGACCCCTTCCTTTCTAGATAACCACCACTGGATGAGGATACCACTTCATGTATTGTTAAACCTTTCTTTCCTAAATGATTTATCTGTGCCTTTTTGAAGATGTTGGGAAATAGACTAAATATGTAACCAGATTGAACATACTCTAGACAAATTTCTGACATTAAAGACCATGTTTGTTTTGATTTTTTTTCCTGGTTGATGGTTGCTTTACCTGAAAAGTATAAATTTCTTTCTAGCTAATTAAAGGTGAATTATTTAGCTACATGGGTTGTTACTTGAAATGTATTGTATTGAAGTGATAAGACCACACGGATTGGTCAAGGCCAAAGAAGCAGGCTGTTGAGCAACCATTCCAAGTGCTCCATTTAGATTTCAGGAAGCTGAATTATTTACGCGGGCCAGCCAGCCCACTCACACTCAGCGCCTGATGTCTTACTTCCCACTTCATTTTACCTACCAATTCATGGCACTTCATTTCTAAACCTACTTGACAGCAACCCGTCCCTTGGGCTGTGGAGGCCTGCTGGAAACCAAGTGTCCTGGATCTTAGTTACAGACTGGCACTGCTCCTGCAGGCTCTGAAACCTGATCTTTGTTCCTTTACCTATAAATGTGACCCTGTGGGTGTGGGGAAAGTTCATAGAAGATTAAAATCAGACACATAAACAAGCAAATTCCAGATAGGGCTTCCTGAATCACAGGAGTGAACTTGAAAGAGCCAATGTGCTCTCTCTGCTTAGAAGTTTACAAAATGGGGGGCTGAGGGGGGCCACCGTGGAAGGATCAGCTCATTCTTAAACAATGTATTAAATGTTTCAAACATAACCTACATCTCCAGCTGGGGGAGTCCACTTTAAAAGTCAACTCCCAAGCCAAGATATAGAGCCCCTATGGAGAACCCAGCTCAGTAAGGAACAACTGGTCAACCAGAGACTCAGAAACCAGTCCTGCTGGCTTAGCCTGGAGCTAGAGGCTGGGTGCAGGACAGAGATAATGGAAGATCCATACCAGCCTTCCCCTGGCGGGTGGGGGGGCTTGCAGTGATGCTGGCAAGATAAAACTAGTGTCCAGGAAACAGCACCTCCTGTGTGGCCCTCGTCTATAGGAAAGTGTGTGGGTGTGAGGGACCAACCAGGAGGGCTACAGGGAGGCGTGAAGGGGCAATCTGAATGGAGACAGAATTTCATCTGGACTTTGAAGGAAAAGCACATGGATTCTAGGAGATCACAGATGAAAGACACAGCCTCCAGGGCAAGAGAAAGGGTGAAAGGAAAAGCCCAGGAATGATGAGATGAGCTGGGTCAGCGTCAGGACCCCCTCAAAGCCCAGTGTTCTGAGGACTTTACGGATGTGAGGCTGCAGAGCTGGGGACAGGGACCCCATTGGCTTGGCTGTCAGATGGCAATATACGCTAGGAGAGGCGTATTAGCGCATCCGATGCACTCTGGACCCAAGCGGAAGATTCCTTTGTTCCCTCTGCATTTCACACAGAGGAGGAGGGGCCTCTTACACATGTGTACATCTGACATATACAGATATGGTTGTGTGTGTGTATGTACAGTCATGCACACGTGAAGCAGTTATGTACACACATAGAGAAGTCCATGCACCCATGGGCACACGTGCACAAAGCTATGCAAATGCACATGCATGATACCTGCATATTTTCACCAGTTTTCACACCAGGGGCCGCAGCCAATTGGTCAAATAAAAGTTGACATCTGGGCCAACTCAGTCACATGAGCTTTGCTTTAGGTTCACAATCTGCCCAGAGTCTTTGCTGAAAACAAAGCCCCTCCTTTCGGACTTCTGGGAACTGGGTTTATCTGGCCACAGCTGCTCCTCTTCAGACACCCACAGCTGTCTTCTTAGCAGGCCCTGTCTGGACACCCAAACTGCCAAGGCTACTCAGCAGCCATGGAGAAAGTGGAGACTTCTCCATGAGTGCAGGAAGGAAATGCTGCTGTTGAGGATGACGAAGATGATAAAAATGCCAACCATAACTTGGGCATTTACCTGGGTGACGGGCTAAATTCAGGACCCCACTTTGCATGGCAATCCTCTGGGGTCAGTATGATCACCCCCATATTTAGGGGGAGGAATCAGGCTCAAGAGGCTGAGTAACAGGAATAAATGATGGCACGGAGATTTGAACCCAAGCTGGTGTGACTCCAAGCCCACTATCTTGGCCTTTACAGGACTGTGCAGATTCAGCATCTAGGTCGAATGCGGGGGAAAAAAATCGAGGCTTCTACAGGAAGAAAAGAAAGCCTGGATGCACCCGGATTCGACTGTGCTGATCCGCTGCCTCATCACCTTCCTCCGTGAGCCTGAGCTCAGGCCGAGCTGCTGCCCTGCAGGACTCCAGGTCCAAGTGCTCCCGGAGCCTGGAGGCAGACACCTTTGCCTGTGTCGGGGTTGGACATAAACAATTACCTCTTCAGAGGCTGTATCAGTCAGGTGACACCGGCTGAGGGCATTGCCACTCCTGCCCAACACCCCATTTAAAGCCCCCCAATTTTCTCCCTTTTCTTTTTACCACACACAAGCTGATCTGAGTCAAACACAAAACATCTGTCACAAAAGCGAGACCTGGTCCTGGCTAATAAATGGCGCCTACAAGACGATGACCATTTTCATGTCTTCATAAACACAGTTCCTATTTTTTCCACTTTTCTACATTTGCTAAGTAAGTGTATGCACTTGCTTTATTCTGATATGCCAATTCAAATCAATCTGTTTAACTTTTTTTCTCCAGAAAGCTATTAAAAAACCCAGAGAGCTTAGCTTAAGCCACCGATTAATCCAACATTAAAGGAAAAGCTATTTGCATTCAAATTAGAGGAACCACAAAATATCTCTATTCCATTTTGTCCTATTGCTGACCCTGCATCCAACATTCTTCTACGAGTCATGTAAGCCTCAGTTCCTAAATCTGTAAAATGGGGACTCACAGGTTATTGTGAAAGACAGACAGAAGGAGGCTCACGAAGCACCCAGCCCCGTGCGGGGCACAGAGTAGGTGTACATTGCATGTCAGTTTCCTTCCCACCTCCTCCCGTCACTCACACAGGCACTCACAGCTCCGAGAGCTCCCTACTTGACCTATGGCCCATGACAATGATCCAGAGTGATGGAAAAGATGATAAAGACAAGTGTGTCTTTCTGATCTTGGGATGGTGACTGGTCAGCAATATAGAAACCTCCATGTTAACCTGGAAATTAGTTTCACTCTGAGGATATTCACACTATGGAAAAAAGTTTAAAAAAGAAAAGAAAAAATAGTCACCAGGAAGTGAATCTATCTGACTTCACACCTTAAAGGACTTGACAGCAGTTTTCATAGGACTTACAGGTGAGTCAGGTCTCGGAGGCCACGGAAGGCATTTCTTGATATGGTTTCTATTTTGTTCCCTTCGATGAACCTAAGGAGAACAGCAGTATAATTCAACTGAATTTTCTTAGCTTACTATCTCTAAAAAGCGACGTTGGTATGCTTTTGGAATAAAACCTAAAAATGTTCGTGAATTTTAACAATTCAACTCTGAAGAGTAGGTCAGCTGCCCCTGGCTCCATGTGGGAGCAGGCGTGTGTTTGAACACACATGTACACTCCCCACGCTCCCCAGACGCAGCATGGCGGTCTTCAAGTTCAGAGCTGGCACTGTGGGTAAAATTATCTTGGGCACAAAGAGAAGAAAGCACTTTACAAAGGCAAGAAATGTTTGCATCTCTGCAAGCCTGGCGTGCTCCCGTATGGCCAGCCCTTCTTACATTTCACAGGCTGGCTATTAATATTTTTGTTAATATCACTCTCCCTTGGGGGAGCCTATTGTTTCACATCTCCTTGTTGAAGTTTTTGCCGAGGGAGAATTCCATTAAGCTTGGCTTCTGGCAAACTTTGAGTTCATCACGTCCTACGCAGTCTGATCTCTGAACAGACCAGTGACGAGGCAGGGTCCTCTTGGGACCTGGAAGGCACTGGGAAGCAGGAAGTGTAATGATATTGAGTATGGGCCAAGTTTCTCTGCACTGAAACATCTTCGGGCTGGAGCATAGGACCCTGCAACATAATTCAGGCCATGCTTTAAATTCTCAGTGAGAAACGCAAGCACCGTGACTGGGCCCTGGTGCCACAGAGACCTACATTTTACTTTAAGGCATCTCATTTCCTCAAATGGAAGAGGGTCTTTGATGAGATAGATGGTCCCAGGGACAGGCTTCGCCACACGATGCCATTAGTTAGTAAAATAGCTCTTGATTCTTGTACTGAGAACGTTCCAATGCCTGCTTGCAAAAGTCAGGGTTCTATTCAGTGATAGACCCCAGGACAAAACGAAGCTACCCTCCTGCTCGATCACCTTGACAATAAGGTGAACCGCTCATAAGAGAAAACCAGCAGCTTCACATGCACGCCCTCCATTGCCTGTTCACGTGCTTTGGCAGAACCTAGCTGGGCTTTAGCGCTTCAGCCCCACCTGCCTTTCCATGAAAGTACACTACCCTGTGTCATGAGAGCGTACACATTAGGTGCTTTCGAGAAGAAACTCCAGAAACATCCTTCTAGGATGCAAAATCAGCAAGGAGCTCTCTTAGACCCAGGATGTGTTTAGAATTCAAACATCTACAATACCTGCCTACCTCAGATAAGAAAGCAGCGACAAGGCTTTAAAAATCCCTCTGAATGCTAAGTAAGGAAATCCCATCTGATAGCAGGATTAATATTATTACAAAGTTACAAAAGACCAGGATGAAAGAACCTAAGGGGGGAAAAGACATGAAAGAGGGAAAGACAGAAACCAGAGGGAGGGCAAAGCTCACTGCTGGGGGAAAACTGCACATCTGAGGAGAGAAAAAGAACCTCTTTTGAAAGGAGGAGAAAGAAAATTAGACTCTCGTCAGCCCCTCACAGGAGATACCGCAAACGGGACATGGGTCAACTGTATTAAACGCATGAAGTTGCATTCCCATCTAGGGAGACTTTATTTCAAAATAAGTAACCCCCAGAATCCTTCAGCTTTACTTCTGGCTGATCAGCAAATCCATGCCCAGTTATGAGAGGTAAAAATATCCAGCGCAATTTCCAATTGTGCTTACTACACGGCAAATGAAATGTCAGCAGAGAATGGATGTCTTTCCTTCTTTGTTTCTTTGCCCCCCTTTGTCCCCAGCCTCCCCCCTGTCCCAGCGTGGTTCTACCCGAGTAAACTACAAAAGGTCAGGGCTGAAAAGAGAATGGCGTTTTCTCCACCCCTAAGTTCTCTAAGAGACTCTGTTCGGCCTGCAAAGCAATAGAGCAATTCTACTGAAACACCAAACGCTCAGCAAAGGGACAAAGCACCACACTCACAGGTATTCGAGATGAAAAAGTCCAGCAAAAGCATCATCCCGGATGACTGTAAATGAGTTAGAATTCAGCAGTCTGAAAAAGAAAGGACACATTTCAGTGTAGAGATGTGAAACTGGACTCCCAACTGTTTCTTTTCCTATGTTCTGATTGGTGGGCAAATATGGGCTCTTCACTACCTAAACTGGCCCATTGGATGCACAGCCCAACTCCCAGACGCTGACAGAAAATGGCAAGTGGATCCTCTTCGGTCCAATTTTCTGTCCAGCCCCATTATTCTACCATCTCTTGCCCGTGGGTCTCAGTAAACACCACCTGAGAGCTTCAAAGCATTCTAATGCCAGCCCAACACTGAACAGCCAGGGAATGCTCTATGGTGCACAAGCAATCACAGAATTAAAGATCTAAAGGGAGCTAATCCAACTCTATTTTTAGGGAAACTTGAGCCCAGAGAAGGTGTAACTTCACAAAAGTCACACAGCTGAGACCAAAAAAAAAAAACCTTATAAACCTTTCTACTATATTATACATTCCCATGAAGGGAAAAAAAGTTTAGAAAAACTTCAAAAGGCTCTTTATCACCAAATATTTTTTATGAGTCACTACCTAAGTAAACTTGGTAAAAGTTTCTATAGTCTATGTAGTTACCACTTAAGTCTATTTGGCAAAATACCTAACCCAATATTTCTATCATATGGAAAGTGTGTTTTATTAGACCTAGAATTTCCAAGGATTTCAGAATTGAATGTATATCGCTTAATTTTTATCTCATCTCAAATTTAAGAAACCAATACAGGTACAGAGAGTGGGCTCTGTACTCCTGACTTTGCCTGTCACTTGTTCACTTTTGAAAGCTGCATTCTGGACACTTTTTTTCACTAGCAAATGTGAACAGACCTGGGCAGCAGGGCGCAACCTAGGCACCGGCCAAGAGCAGCTGGGGTGCAGAGCAGTTACGAGTGTGGGTTAGAATCCTAGCTGTGACTTTGAACAACTTACTTAACTTCTCTGAGCCTTGATTTTCTCATCTGTGAAGTGGGGGAATAAAAGTACCCTTTCTTGTAGGAATAACAAAATGATTCAATAAAATTTTGCATATAAATGCATCGTCTGCTTCCCAATAGTTCATGTATTCAGTCAACTAGAAATACTGCCGTTTTCAGGGTAACATTAAGAGTTTAAACTGTAGGTTTTCTCTTAAAGTAAAGGAAACAGTTAATTTAGGTGAAGTTCAGGTCAAAATTCAATGTAAGCCCTGGCTGGTGTGGCTCAGTATATTATTAAGTGCCGGCCTAAGTACCAAAAAGTCGCTGGTTCAATTCCCAGTTGGGGCACGTGCCTGGGTTGTAGGCCGGGTCCCCAGCTGGAGGTGTGTGAGATGTTTCTCTCTCAACACCCACATTTCTCTCCCTCTCTTTCTCCCTCCTTTCCCTTCTCTCTGGAACTAAATAAATAAAATCATTTTTTAAAAAGTTTGACATAACCATGGCCCCAGTTGCTAGAAGTGGGGGTTGGGGTCTACAATAAAGTCTGTGAGGAGAGCATGTGCCGGAAAAAGGATGGGACACTGAGCCAAGAGCCTCTGGACTCGGCTTGATGGCAACACCACAAGGCCAAGTTATCTCTAAGATCCAGCCCTGCTTTACTCATGTCCCTTGAGTGTTTTAGGAAGAACTGACATCAAAGATGCAGAGTCCGCCCCTCCCCCCCCAGGACTGCACCTCCGGGACCCCTGTTTTCAGGGAGAACATCCCATACTCACAGCAGCTGCAGGGAAGGCAGATGGGAAAACATTCGGTCCTTGATCTCCAAGAATGTTCCATTTACCAGGCTCCTACAGGAGAAAGAGGAACACGGCGAGGCCTAGGCTGTTTGAGAAGTGCTGGGCAGAATGGGCAATCAGCCTTATCCTCCACCTGCACTCCAAACGCCTCCACTAGGGATTGAGTCTTAAAACAGTTGGACAGAAGCTTCTTGGGGTAGGAACAAGAGGCAGTCAAGTTCATGCTGCAGTGAACTGGATCAATATGAAACTAGTCTGAATAACAGAAACCTTTACCACCCATCCAGCTCCTTCCATAGACGTTATCTCAGCCAGTTTGAATCAATTCCCCCTGCTTCATTTTACTTAACTACAAGAGGCCCAGGCTGCAAATGGATAATTATTTCACTTCTGCCCATGATTCTGTTTGTGCAGACGCATTGTTAATGTTGGCCAATGAAACTCCGGGGTAGGATTAAGCACTCCCCTTGGGAGCCCATCTCTGAAAGACACTCAGAGCACTTCTGATTAAATGCACCGTGAAAGCCTTGGGGGAAAAACTCAGAGACACCTGAACTTGAATGTGGAGTGGGAGGCAATGCCATCTGCCAGATTTGACGGTCCATGTCAGGGCAAGAGGCTTGGCTCTGTGATTGCACCAGGTTCCCCATCCTTTCTGGCCACAGCAGGACCTCAGCACATTATTCAGAATGACTTCAGTTAGCATGCAGGTCAATTAAGCAGCTGCTGGTCTAAAGGATTTAACAAGGGGAATTCTCATTTCTGGGATCCTCCATATCACCAGATTTAGCAATATCAGGGACCAAAAAGGCCCTCTTTCCCTGCCCGCCAGACTCCTAACTTTTTAGAAATGCAAACAGGATGCCCATCACTCCTGATTCCAGGCCTCTGTGCCTTGCCAAGGGGTCAGAGGCAGGACAGGGTAATTCCAAGAGGAAGTGTCCTGAGCAGAGCAGCTTCGCCTGGGAATTCCCTGCCTCTGCAACTGAGAGGGCATCCCCCAGCACCAAGGCCTGGAACAAGGGAGTCATTTCTCCAGGAAATATTTCCCAGCAGTGAAGACAGAGTCCAGAAGCCCCCTTTCATAGCCATTATGAGAGCTGGTCACGTGGCTTGAGTGGCTGTGTGCGGGCAGGTTGAAAGCATTTCTTAGCAGGTGGGTAAATGATGTGGAGCCTTTTCCCATCAGTTCCTCTGGCACTGAAAAAGCAGCCAATATAATACGTGGTGCAGAGACAGGGTGAGAAGCCCTTGTGGACTCAGGGCAAGAAGTCAGGCAGACTTCCAGCCCCTGACCACTAGGCTGGGTGCCCCATATGCCCCCACGCTCTGCCAAGCCGTCTGTGTTCTCGTCCAGGTCACATGGGGAAGCACCACCCCCAAACCCACTTCCAGAGGCTATATGACTTTACCCAGGTTCCTCCCAGCCTGAACTGTAGAGAGGTCGGGATGAGGCCAGGGTGTAAACCACAGCCCCAGACCCGAGGTGGGACAGTGGGGGCTTCACCTCCTCCGGGGTGCACTCACTTCAGTCGTGCTCACCGCACATACATGCCCATACACAACCCCCCAAACATACACGCATCCTCTCAAACTTTAACGCACCCCAGATTCACCCGGGGACGCCAAACGCAGACTCCAAGGCTCCACTCCAGAGCCCCTGCTTCTTTCAGCGCGGTCCCCAGAATCTGCCTTGGCACAAGATCCGCCAGGTAGGTGGGTCTGATGCGGGTGGCCCGAGGGCCACACTTAGAGAAACACTGCCAGGGGGCTTGTCCCGGTTCCCAAACTCTGCGTCTTGGTTCCCTCCATCCGCCCTGGGGCCCGAGACTTCACCCACGTCCCGCAGCGCTCCCCCACCCAAACATAAAGAAACCGGCTGGGGAGTGGGGTCGGGTCACAGCGTCCCAGAGCCAGAAGCAACTCCCTGGCGACAGCGGGCACAGGGTGGGGCGGGGCGGGGGGATGGGGGGGGACGCTGGAGAGGTCCCACTCACTCACAGGGAGCTGATGTCGCCCGGCACGACCCTGGGCACCCAGGAAGAGCCCACGCAGATGATGGACTCCTTGGTACAGCTGCAAGTGGCGGGGCAGCGCGCCAACCGCCTCACCTGCGCGCTCCGCGGGACCCAGCACGCGGCGCCCAGCAGCAGCAGCAGCAGCAGCCGCCCCGGCACCCCGTTGCCGCCCCTCCGCAGCGCCATGCCGGGTCCCCGCACCCCGCCCCGGTCCCGACCCCCGCCGCCGCGCCTTGCGCCTGGACTGGGCGCCGCTGCAGACACGGGCCGCTCGCTGCTCCGCCGCCGCTGCTGCCGGCGAGGACTAGGGCGCAGCGGGTGTGGGAGGCCGAGCTGCAGCCAAGCAGCATGCTGGCCGCCGCCCCCACTCGGCGCCCCCCCACCCGAGCCCGGGCTGCTGGGCGGCCGCCGCTGTGCCCGCCGCACTCGCGCCCGCCTGACATCAGCGCTCTCGCCCGCAGCCCGCTCTGGCCAATGGAGAATGCGGGGCGGACGCCCGCCCCGCCCCCGCCGTGCCCGGGGGCCGCCACCCCCTCCGGACCCTCCCGGACCCTCCTCGGCAGCTGCGGGAAGAGGGAAAAGTTGGGTGGCCTTGGGGGACGGCGGCCTTGGACGGAGACCCCCCGGGGGGCCCACCGAGTGGCGGGGCATCGGATGCCCGCAGTCCCTCTGGCGGGCCCTTCCCCCCCCCCAACAAAACGGGAGGTGGGGGCTGGGGGTAAAAGTAGGGCCAAGGAAACCGGCTTGATGACTGGGAAGGGAGATTTTCGTCCTGGGTGCTTTGAAGAGTGCAGAATTTTGAGCAGCCTTTACTAATTTTTTAAAACAGAAATGAAACGAATGCTGCCGTACAGTTGGGCGGGGGTAGCTTTGCTCGTGTGTTGCGGTGGGGCTGTGGGGTCTGGATCCCCGTTCCCCCAGCGCCGTGGGACTGCCGAAGCCCGCCACCTTTCCCTGCGGAAGGAATGGAGAAGAGCGAGCCTGCCGCGGCAGTGCGCGCCCCTGCTACTCTGCGGCCTGCCCGCTGCTGGCCGCGGAGCTGAGAAGCCCGCGAAAGTTTCCCCTCCGTCAGCACGCGCTCTGGCACCCCACCCACCCGAATTACAGGGCAGGAGTGCTTCGTTCATAGAGATTGAGGGCACGATTCGCTCTAGGCTCTGTACATTCAATCTACTCCTAACCCTCTGAGGCAGGTCCTATTTATCTCCTTAAGGTGCTGGTGAGGAAACTGAGGCACAGAAAGCACCAGTAACTGGGTGATGGTTCAGGAGTAGATGGCTGGGCAGAGACAGGGGTTGGATCCTGGGCCCTGTATTGCAGCCTGGGGTGGGGATTGGTAGCCAGTGCCTAGTGAGCCTCTCTTCCATTCTTCACATTTGCTACACTGAGCTTGAGTCTTACTACCACAAGGCAATGTCAGCTGGGAAAATCAAAGAAAATGGCCAAAACAGAACCAAAATGATGGTCCATAGCCTGAACTGGCAGGGTGGGGAGTGCAGGGCGCCATCATCAGGCTACTACCAAGGCAAACCATTTCCTCTGTTAAGATTCACTCAGAGGAGGCAGTGCCAAGACCCAAGGTTATTCCTGCAGGAATCGTCAATACTATCCTTTCCCCAGCTATCCTGAGTGTGTCTCAGGATGGCCGCTGTGGGAGGAGACAAAAGGCGTAGGCCCTATCCGCAGGGAGCTTGAAGTCTAGCTGGGCAGACAGCCCTAAGAAATAACTGAACACTGACCGAAGGGGTCCAGGAATTGAAAGTGAGTTGTCGCAGGTAACCACGTGGAGAAAGTGAACATTCGCTGCAGGAAGCATTTATCCAACACCTAGCATCTATGTGAACCAGTCTACTTTTGCCATCATTTTGTTCTCAGAGCTCCCCTGAAAAATGGGTCTTCCCATTTTGTAGATGGGAAAATCGAGCTTGGAGACAGTTTTTTCTTGCCCAAGTTCCCCAGGAGACAGCCAGGAGCATCCTTCTCCAGAACTGGCTGCTGTGTTCAGCCCTCACCTCTTTGTCGGCATGCACTCCATAAATGCTCTACTCCGCAAGGCCCAGCGCTGGGGGTGAGGACGCAGACCATGGTCTGGGTAGGGCGACAGGCAGGTGGACCCACCACCATGGAGATGTGTCCCGAAATGCCTGAAAGATGCTTGCCTTTAGACGGATGAGCTACTGGGGGGAGGGGGCAAGGCTTCTCTAATGTAGGGCCTTTCTGCTGACCCAAGGAAGGAAAATCCGCTTCTCACGTCTCACTGTGTTGGGTTAGAGTGAGGAGTAGGGCAGGGAAGGGAAACTCTCTGTCCCCAGGATTACATAGGTTTGGGTTAGAGTCCCGGCAAGCCACTCACTAACTGCAATCACAGGCGAGTTTGAAGCCTCAGTTCGGGGGTTAAATGTGATCGAGAATGCAAAGCACCCACTGCCACACAGGAAGTGCTGGGTATTTGTTCAGAATTCTGAGCAATACGGTGGACAGAGCAATTCTCAGCTAACCCCCGCGACTCACGAGAACAACCAGGCAGGGGAGGGGCTCCAAAAGGATGAGTTTTATTAACTTTTGTGCTTCCTTTACAGTTAAAGACAGGGACACAGTCTAGCATAGTGGTTCTCCATCAGGGGTGACGCTTGGCAATGTCTGGAGACATTTGGGGTTGTCACAGTAGGATAGGTGCCACTGGCAACTGGGGTAGAGTATCCCGCAGTACACAACAAAGAATGCTACAGCCCAAAATGTTACCACTGCCTGGGTGGAGAGACCCTGGTCCGATGTCCTGGAAAGACGTTTGGCACGAGGAGCGCCAGAGACACAGACTCCAGGCCTGGCTCCACCGAGCAGCAGTACTTCTCGCTCATGATGCTCCCGTCTTAGCCTCTGCTTCCTCATCTGTGAAGTGGGAATAATGAGACAACAAGACCTTCCTGTCTCTTCGCTATGTAAACACAACATAGCATTATTGCTATCCTTACCCTCCCCGAGCCAGGGCTGACTCCAGCCCATCTGCTCCAACCTGAAAGACTAGAAAGTTCCTCGTAGGAAGACTGCAGAGAGAAGACTTGGGGAGCATAGCTGGCAGGGCTGGTATTTGTTTCGGCTCTGTTCGAGATACTGAGTGCTTGCAAATTATAAGTGCAGTCTATAAATGACGATATAAAAATGGAAATGCAGATTATTTTGGTTTGGTTCCAACATCTTCAGCCATTGGGGGGGAAAAACACTTAGTAGACAATCAGAGAAAATCTGTTTCCAAGAAATAGCAAGAGTTTTTCAAAACGCGAGGATCCTTGATCGGATGTACACTTCCTCAAGCTGTCTCCTTGACATGAGCACACATTCGTCCCTGCAGGGGCTGACGCGGTGCCAGCTGCAGCGGCAGCTCCAAGCATTGTCCATGCAGCCCCCAGTTCATTTAACCACCTGTCAGTCTGGTCAGTGTTGATTGGAGTCTACTAGCTGCTGGGTTGGATTCGCTTTGAAATCAATGAAACATCAAGAATGCCTACCATCACGAATGTTTTAGCTTGAGCCAGGGGGTAGGTAGGTAGAGGCGCCATTGTTTTGAGCTGAGAACCTCTAGAAGAAGAAAGGGTTTGGCTGAGAGAGAGGTATAAAAAAATTGGTTTTGGAGACGTTGGCTCTGAAATGGCCAGGAGGCATCACGTGTAGCTGAGTAGGCAGCTAGATGACCACTGGGGAGGGTAAGGAAGAAATGGGAGGGCAGTGGAGGGGAAATCTTTGTCCCCTCGGTGAAATATTGATTCTTTTTCACTGAGCCTTCAGTGTAATGGTGGCTGTTTGAATGAATGAATGAATGAATGAATGGTATTTCGGACATGCAAACACTGAAGAGAAAATATTTCTCAGGTGCAGTCAGTAAGAAACAATAGAAATCTCGCAGAACAGGGTGAATCTAGGAAGGCTGCAGTTTGGGGAAATCTATTTTTAGACCAAAAATAGTTTCAAATACTAAACCTAACTGTAAATCTCATAAGAATCTCAGAGACCTCATCACGCTTCTCATCTCCCTCCCCTGTTTTCTAACCGAACGCCACTCCCACTCCACAGCTGGCCTTCTCGCCAGACTGTATAAGCTTTGGAAAGCTTTCGCTGATGTCTGACACTTCTGGTTCTGGTGCTTGCTGTAACAACCGGAAGAAAAACTACACATCCAAACCTCAAAGGCACTCAGTTTGAATGGCTACAAATTAGATCCCCTGGGGTAGAAAAAAATAAATAAAAAACAAAACCATCTTGCCCATTTTTTTAAATCAGAGAATTGGCCAGTCTGTCTTTGACCACATCACCTCAATATGCCACTCCTGTGGTTGGCTGCTGGTCAAATGTAGATGCCATTTCTGGCTCCCCACCATGGCCTTTCTTCACACACTCAGTTGGCGGGAGGGGTCACAAGTCTGGAGCTCGCTCTGATTCCGCCTCTGAGTGGACTCTTGATTTTCAATTGTGTCCTTGAAGGGCTGCCTGTGGATTATCTCATGCAGTTTCCTAAATCAGCTGAAAGGCCCTCAAGCCCCTGGCCACGGTTTCTGGTGACCTTGGCCACCTCCTCTCCACCCCAGTGCCATGGAGCCCTGTGGGATATTTGTCAACCAGCCTCAGCTGCCCCATCTCATGACAACCAGACACATTTTTGCTTGGGAGGAAATGACTCCTTCTCAAAACGCAATCCATGTGGCTCACTTGATGAATACTTTCAATAGCCATGCACACATCCTCTAGACCAAAGCATTCCTGAACGTTCCATTCTCCCAGCCACAGTGACTGGTTTCGTGATGAACACATCACCACACTGGGACCACCCTGGCAAGCATGAACTCGCTCTCTGCTGGAGCTAGGACATCTGTCTTCTCCTACCCTCAGACACTGGTGCTCCTGTCTCCCAGGCTTTGGGACTCAAGCAGGACCTGCACCATTGCACCACACCCTGCCCTTCACCCTCTCCCCGATTCCTAGGCCTTTGGACTAAGCCAAATTACACTATCGGTTTTCCTGGATCATCAGTTTACGAATGGTGGATTATGGGGCTTCTCAGCTTCCATAACTGTATTGGCTAAGTCCTATAATAAATCCTCTAATACATATTATATATGTGAGATATATATAAAATATGTATCATATATGTACATAATCTTATTGGTTCTGTTTCTCTGGAGAACCCTGACTAA